CGGCGCGGACCCGCTGCATCGCCACCTCCCCCTGGACGGGCAGCCGCCGCGGGTGGCCTGGGCCGAGAGGCTGGTTCGCGGGCTGCGAGGTAAGAGCGAGACCCGCACCGGCCGATGCTCACAGCAGAACCGCGGGCGCCGGCCGGAGCCATAGCCCGCTGCGGGCAGCTTTCCGCGGCTCCACCTCGCATCCCCCTTGCGTCCCCGCCTCCCTTGGAAGCGCATTCCCCACCTCTGCTCATTCCGCTCTATTTCCGGTACCCACCGCCGAATTCCACTGCGCCCTTGTTGGTGCAGATTTATTGGATATCTCCTTCTTCTAGAAGAAGAAATGTCAGCGTAGTTTTACTTCTGGAAATAAGTAGAGGCTGTATTAAAGTGAAAGGGTACATCTGGGGTTTTTATTATTAACATTATTGTAGGAGAAACAATGCATATTCTAGTACAACAAATAGTGGTCGCACTGTGTATTTGCCAGTTTCACTAAATCAAAATGAAAATTCTGTATTAGTACCCATGGCCTTCCACAGGTTTTGAGCCCTCTTTGCCCCTCATCCCGTTCTCGAAAGGTAGCAGTACAGTCTTATCCAAGTTGTGGGAGGAGTGTCATTGGGTTGTCATTGATGTGTTTTTGGTGAAGTGTGTGGTTGTTTCTGGGAGGGGGTGCTGTTGAGAATACCGCGAATAGAATAAAATAGTATCTTTGAAAACAGTTATTTGGCCATTTCTAATCCAGGCGTTTTCCTAAAACAGTTGTAAAGAAAGGTTACATTGTTGAAAAAACTTGGAAGTATGTTTTTAAATAACTAAATTCATGTTCTTTGAAATTCCAACAAAGCAGTGAAGTTACCAGATACCAGCTGTGTGCAAATGTATCGGAGTTCAGTGCACCCAACTCCAAAAGGCAAGAAAGGAATTTTCAAATTTACTAGTGTCTATTAAGAGGACATAAATTTTCCAAGAGCAGATGGGGATCCTCTTTCTGCAGAGTTTTGTCAGAGGCATCCTTGGAAAAGAGTTGAATTTGGTCTTAGCATCCAGATTATTTTAATCTCCTTCTTAAGTTTTCATTCTCAGTTCTTTTGAAATTTTCCCTTCCTTTCCCATCCTGTTAGTTTTGAAACTCTTGTACAAAATAAAACTACTCAGGTGTTTTTCTAACGACATGATTACAACAAGATAAGGCCTACATCCAAATCCCAGTTCTACCACCAAGAATTCCAGTTCTACCCAGTTGGCTATGCGACCTCGAGCAAATTTCTTAACCCCTCTGATCCCCAATATTTACATTTATTTTTAAAGAGATAATTATAACACTTAGTTCTTGTCTTTGGAGAGTTAAATGAGATGAGATGTAAAATGTGTAACAACTTTCTCTCATGTTGTAAGTACTTCATAAATATAAATTAAGTCATAAATTCTAAAAGTGTACATTTTGGTACTTTTATGTAAGTGCTTATTGTTAATTTGATTCAGGGCATGGTGGGGAACAAAAGATCTTTTTTAAATAACCTGTGTGAGTATATTAGTAAAAAATTCTAATACCTTTTAAGGTTCAAAACTATTCAAACAAATTATATGCTGTTGACCCTTGAATAACCAGGAGGTTAGGGGTACTGACCTTGTGTAACTCTAGTTAGCCCTCTGTATATGCAGGTTCCCAGCTGCAGAGTTGACCCTTGAAAAACGGGTTTGAACTACCACCCATTGGTTGACAAAAATACTCATGTAAGTCGACCTGCGCAGTTCAAACCCGTGTTATTCAAAGGTCAACTATATTCTTTTACATTGTTTTAAATGTACTTTTTAAAATACTAAGAAAAGTTTCTTATAAGTTAGTAAGTAATAGTACCTCATGATCCTTTTGACTCAGTTTAAGCATTTGAAAACATTTAGCCTTCTTTGAATAAACTCAATAATGGAGAATAATGAAAGGAAATATATATATGTTTATATGAGTGTATATACAAGTTTATTTTAAATAAAATTTTCAGGAAATTCACAATGAATAAGCTCATACTAAAACATCAAGTCATACCATATCAGTGGTCTAATTAGTAGGAGAACAGACTCAGGAAAATCTTAATTACAGAAAATTTTAGAATAAATTTCAGTTTCTTTAATGAAGAAATATAATTGACATTCTTGTCACTTATTCAATAAGTAACATTTGTTAAATACTTAGCACCTACTTTGAAAATAATACTACCCTAGGTGCTACAAAAAGAAAGAAATAGCACATCACCATTTTCCTATAGACAGAAACTCAGAAAACTGAAATAAGTAACCATGAACGAGTTGTGATGTTTTTCCCTCTTGGAATACCAGTGACAAAAATCTTATACGCATTATGTTAGTAGTGCCCCAGGATCAGAACAGAAAATAGACTGCAATTGCTAAAGGTAGGAGAGATTACTCAAATTTGGAGTGGTCAGGAGCTTCCCTGACAGTCTCCCGCCTTTGTGACTTTGTATAACTCATTCGCACTTCCTGGGCCTCAGGTTCCCATTTATAAAAAATGGAAATGTTGAACCTCCCAGGTTCATTCTAGCTTCGACATGCTCTTCTGTTACTGTTTAATGACATGAACTCAAGATGAACAACAAATGTTCAGTTTTGCTCTTTGAACAGTAGATCTGTCTTCTTAGCAGAAGACAGTAAAGAAGAAATGCTTGAGGCCTGATTGTGGGAAGTGTTGTGTCTAACCAAGTAATTAAGAATTAATCCCTAACTGTTAGGAAGCGGTTCAAAGTTTTTGAGCAGAAGCAGAACATGCTGAAAGGGAATATGAGTCAGGCAGTGTGCTGTGCAGGAGAGCTTGCAGAAGGAAACAGGGAGGCAGGAGAACCGGATACGAGGCAGCCAGCGAAGACACGATGAAGGCCTGGACCAAAGGAAGTGAAGAGGGGCTGAAAGATTTAAAGACTGTCCCAAACTTAAAGGTATCCTCTATAACCATTTTTACTTTTTTCTTAGCAAACTTTTTAGTGAAAAGATAAAATTAGACACACTACACGAGTTATCACATTTTCTGAATTTCGAAAGTTGAATGTGTTTTCTGGATGTATCAACTTGTTAAAGTCATTTTCTATTTAGTTTTTTACACATATAAGCTTGTTTTTATTTTTTTCCTGTAGAAATCATAAAGTACTAGCTGTATTGGTCAGGGTAGGCTAAGCTGCTATAACAAATAGATACCTTCTTTCCCATTCACTATGTTGTTTCATAACTGTCCAGAACTTTTTCATCATCCCAAACAAACTCTACCCAGTAAGAAATAACTCCCCATTCCCCCTCCTCCACTGCCCCTGGTTACCTCTATTCCACTTTCTGTCTATAAATTTCCCTGTTCTAAGTACCTCGAGTATTAATGGAATCATATAGTATTTGTCCTTTCCTGTCTGGCTTATTTCACCTGGCATAATGTTTTCAAGGTTTATTGATCTTGTAGCATGTATCCAAACTTCATTCCTTTTGATAACTGTATAATATTCCATTGTATGTATACGCATATGTATATACATATATTTTGTGATCAACACTTTGGTTGTTTTTACCTTTTAGGTATCCCTTTGTTTTAGTCTAAACTTCACACCATCTCTTCTTTTCTTTTTTTATTTGCACTATAATTTTGGACAAATGAGATTTTGTGTTTTCATTGCTGGGGGTGCGTTTTGGGGGAGGGTTGCTACTCTGGGGTTTGTGATAGGTTATGCAAGTAACAGAATCTGTGCAGTCAACAAACATATATGGAGAGTCTCCTTTGTGGTAGGTACTAGGGATACAGAGATAAAAATACAAGTTCCCTACTCTCAAGGAGCTCAGTTTAGTAGAGAAAACAGAAGTGTAAGTAAATAATTTCAACGTCAGGTCCCAGATATGGAAGGGACCCAAAGAGAGAAGACCAGCTCTACCTGAGAGAAGCCAGAGAAAGTGAAACGAGGTACGTTTTGAAGGATAAGGGTGGGGATGGTCAGAGGAGGAAAAAGTAACAAGTTAAGACCGAGCTAGTAGCTCATTGAGACCTTATCCCGCAGACAGAGCCAGTGGGAGCTTCAGGCAGGGGGCCGATATGATCACATGTCAATCTGAAGATGAGTCTATCCAGAATGTAGAGAATGAGGGAGATAGCACGGGTTGCTAAGAGAATTAGGTCAGGAGAGGTCTGACCGAGAAAGAGGAGTGATAAAGGATACAATAAGGGCATGTGAGCCGAGATAGAAGGGAGCTACATTAAAGATACAGAAATTATGAGAATTGTAGACCAACTCCCTGTGAGGGTTAAGAAGAGTACCTATTCTAGGATGAAACCCATGTTTCTGGCTTGGTACCATTAATCGAAACAGGGTAAATAGGATTCTAGAGAAAGAAAAAGAAACATCTCAGTTTGGGGTATGTGAGTGTGAGTTGTCTGTGGAATATGCAGGTGGAACTGGTGATTAGTTCTGGCATATACTTATCTGCACCTCAGGAGAGACCTAAGAATTCAAGATTCAGGAGTCAATGTCACACAAGGTAGCAACTTACTATTCTACAGAAAATAGACCAATAGGAGTAAAAAGTCACTTCCTTTCTAAAGTTATCTCTCCAATTTAAATGAATATTAGGAAAGATTATATTTATCTTTCTAAACAAGCTCCACATGTGTCTTAGCACAAAAACAGGATTCTTCTATGATATAAATGCAATGAGCATTTGGTCAGGTAATTCACAATGAATTCAAAGTCCACATGGATTTGGGTCTTTATGCCATTCTGACATCTAGGTATCATAAGCAGGACATTTTGTAGATTTGGACCTGTTTTTGAAGCTATAGATAGGCCTCTTCCAACCACTCTACGTGCTTTACACATAATATTTCTAATTCCCAGAGCAACCCTACAAAGAGGTACTCTTCTCATTTTCAGATGAGGAAATGTAGGCTCATGAAGTTAGGGAAGGTTTCATAGCCCATAAGTGGCTGAGCTTTCATTTGAATACAAATTCTGACTCCAGATTTCCACATTGCACCTTGTCATGATCAATAAGTCTTAGGGGTTTAGTGTATTTCAAATGGGGCAGAGTTAATGTGAGGCAAAAGATCCACACTGAATCTTTAAACTATGGGACAAATATTTATGGATGAAATGATATGATAGCTGGGATTAGTTTCAAAATAATTGGGAGGAATGGGTTTAGATGAATCAGTTTTGGTATGGAGTTGATAATTGTTGAAGATGGGTAAGAGATGCAGGAATTCATTATGTTCTCTGTGATTGTTTTTTTAATATATTATAAAATAAAAAGGTTTTGGAAACATTTGGATAAAATAGTTGCAAAGATAGCATTTTTTTCAAAGTCAGTTATTTATGTTTGGGACATCTTTTGTGTTTTGGATTATCCATCTCAGAGTTCTCCTATATTCATATTAATAAGTAATACCACGCAGGGGAACAGACATAGTTTAGATGATGTCTTCCAACTTTGAGCTCTGGAATTAACTAGGCACATTCTTAAACATGAAGGAAGTAGTATATTGTTTGGTGTCCCCCTCCTATCACGTTCTCCCTAACAGCTGCAGACACCTGTGTTTTGAATGTGAGTGCCTGGAATGCTGGGAGGATTCTCCCCCCACAAAATAGTGGGAAAAGACAGTTGATTTTGAAGAATGCTGCCATTTTGGACATGAACTCTATCCTTAACTATTCTTATTCTGTCAGTTCTGCTAAATATGGGAAGTAAGTAGCTACAGGACTGCTTTTTTTTTTTCCTATTTATGAATGCAGCCATTTCTCACCCATTAGAATCTACGGAGGTCCCTATACCCTGAGACAGACCCAGCATACACACCCAGTGGGGAAATTGGATGAAATTTTTAAAGCAATAAGTATTTGAGGAGGTAAATAGAGTAATTTAGAAAAAGTATATACATGAAAGTATATTATATAGAAGTATAAATAAAGGTACTTGTTTCTTTTCATTTGAAATGTTTCATTCGAGGGCTAGAATTAAATTGCCATAGACCATTGCAAGTTGAGTGTGAATAAAATTTGAAAGGAGTTTGGTTTTTCTGTTTATAGGTCAAGCAGTACCATTTGTAAATATTAAGAACCATGACTGTTCCATAGTGCATAATTGTTTGTAAATCATGGGAAAGAATGAAATCACTAAGTCAGGCAAGGCAACAATCTTTCCTGACAGTAAAGAGACTAGCAATCTCTACTTACGTGTATATTTTAGACCTGTCCTCAAAAAGAAATATATTCAAAGAAATGGTGTGGTTGTGTCCAAGGCTACTGAGCCTAATATTTGGCTGCCTCTGTGTTATTCTGAGTTGTAATTTTCCATGTCATCTAAATTTGTAATAATTCTTTAATATGACAGAGTTTCAGCGAACAAACATTCTGCTTGCTGCATTTCTTCTGAGTGAGTAATTCCCTGACAACTACCAGATCTTGGCAGAAGCAAACCTGATCATAAGTTATGCTCCACTTTCAGTGTGGTGAAATCTATGATGCGTAACACAGTGTCTTTGAACTCAGATGCTAATTTTCCTAAAGGAAATTTGGAGAAAAAATAAAAGGAAATGAAATACCCAAATTTAGCAGTAGAACTAATGTATTATTATAAGACTTGAGAATACATAAACACTAGTGATGAAGTCATTGCTTCAGATTAAAAGACCACATACCATTTTCCCCTGTTCTCTGTGTGGGTTGATTGTGACTTAAGTGGCTCTGTGAGTTTCAGTGATTGAAGGGATTAAAGTCTGTGGAATAAAAGTGAGGCAACATGCAGGGGCCAGGTTGGCTACCATTAACAGCCGACCTAATCTAACTGAAAGGATTGAGAAGTTTGTCTTTTTTGGGAAACATTAAGGCTTTTCCAAGTAACCAGCAATGTGACTTTACCACACTGTTCATTAATGGGGGTTGGACAGCCACCGTGTCTGTCTATGAGTCCAAGACTGTGGTAACTCTCTCCAGCAAGCTCGTGGAGGGTTATGTCATCTTTGCTCAGCTGGCCCAACACTTTTTCCATCTGCGAAAATGTAGAACACGGTTGCTGATTTTAGTCTTTCTCCAAAGAGAGAAGTCAGATGAGTTGTTGCATTTAAATAAAAGATTATACGTTAATTGGCACTTAAAAAAAATCTGTTAAGCTAAGCATGTTTAGTATAGTCAGTCAGCACTGAGTTTCTTAAAGGACAAAGATGAGTTCAGAGGAGAGATTTTACACCAGTGTGTTAGACGCTTGATAGATGTTTTCATAGGGAAATGGTATTCCAACCAGGATGCCTTTTTGTCAGGGGCGACCTAAAAGGTATCATTTGCGATGTAGTTTCATCATATACTAAATTTAGTGATAAGATTAGTACCAGGTTGTGTCCTCTCTCATAAGAAGAGCTGATGTGTACGCACAATTATTTAATCTTCTCTTTTAGGCTGCTTTCATTTACTCCTGCTAAAACAACTTCCCAATTATATTCGGAGTGTGCTAAAAAAAATATAGGAGAATCTCCCTTAAAGGTTATACTATTTATTTTATGTGTTTTCCCTTTTCCATTCATAAGATTTTTAAAAATAAAATGACATGTTTTATTATTATTTTAAAGGTCTCTGGGGAACAAGACTCATGGAGGAAAGCAACACTAACCGAGAGAAATACCTTAAAAGTGTTTTACGGGAACTGGCTACATACCTCCTTTTTCTCATAGTCTTGTGCATCTGTAAGTAGACTATTTCCTTCCACTTAAGGAGAAGTTTTAAAAATATTTGCCCTGTCAAAATCATAATTAAAAAGAGTTATATATGCACTAGAAGAGTTAATTCATAAGTTCTCTGTTTTCAGTTACAATTCAGCATTGTCTAATTGGCCAGTTCATTGTCATTTGTGATCATTTCACTTTAAGATGCATGTAGCATAGCAACCTGCCATACACTAAGAAACTAATTAAAAGTTTTTGCATTAGATATTGTAACAATAATTAGTGTCACTATTGTTATGTCAATTAATATAAAGCGTATGTAAGAATTATTTTCAGCAAAATGACTTTCCAAGTGTAAATTTCAGGAAATACAAATAATGTCACCTAATATTGCTTTTATGAATGGGTGGGTGGGTGGATAGATGGCTGGCTGGCTGGCTGGCTGGCTGGCTGGATGGATGGATGGATGGATAGATAGATAGATAGATTAAAAAATCCCCTTGTTTTTGATTTGGATGTGTTGTGTGGATGCCTTCATTCTTTAGTATTTACCGGATTTTTACTCTACAGGAAACTTACTGCAGACTCATCTCTTTCTTCTTCTCTTCTTTCAACAGTCCTTGCATCCTTTGGATAGGCGAGGCTTAGCCAGAAATGAGTCTTAGAAACCGTTTGCCTCAAAGTCCAGAAAGTCACAGGCAATGGATTTATCTTCTGAATCAAAGGATGCTGGAGTTCTTTTTGTGTTCCCTCTAAAGCCTTTTATGCAAATAGACAAGAAAGGAGATTTATAACCATCAGGACCTTTTACCATAGTTCTCTGGGAAAGGAGATCATTCTTATAGTTAACACTTAGAAATGCTTAAAAATTCTCACCAACCTTGGAAAGAATCCCCTTTCTTTAATTATGAAGAGAATTAAAATTTAATCAATACTTTAATAATGCTTTCTTACTACATTAAAATTGACCACCTTAAATTTAATTAACTAAGTGCTAAAAGCTTCCTTAAAAACAATTTTTATTTACTAATTTATAAAAAATAAAAAGATTTGTAAGTTGAACATAAAAGATTAAAGTAACGTTTAAGTTTCAATATTTGTCATTTTAAGAAATTGAATATTGATTTACTTAATATCTCCACACTGGTTTTTACTAATACTAGGAAGCTCTTAATGAGGTTTAGCAGGACGTGACTTCTTTTTACATTTTCTGAGACTATGACTATCCTGATGAGAACGTAAAGACAAAAAGAAGTTTTTTAAGTTCAAAAGTATATCTGTATGCACAACATCCATATTCTTGGTTTTTTCTTACTAATTTTCTGTTATTTGTTTAGGAAGGAATGTCTCACTACTCTTAAAAACATGTTATCTAAGACAGAAATGCTGAAAAGCTAGAAATGATCTGTTCATTACATTAAAAGTTACAAAGCAAGAGGTGTGATATGTGTAACTTTTATGTTCTAAGCTCTAAGCTAGAACTTAGAATACCTAAGTTGAGTTTGCTCCCAGTGTAGAAATGGTACTTAAATATTAAACTACAGTGGCCTTAAATATTAGCAAGTTTATTAGAATTATAATTGAATTTTTTCAAGCATGACCACGCATGCATACATAGATACATACATACCTACATGTTTCTTATGCAAAATATAAGTACCCCTGTAAGTAAGTTTAGAATTTTAGTGGTCCCCAAAACTGCCTGAGCATCAGAATCACCAAGGTAACTTCTTCTTAAAATTATAGTTTGCCCAGATATACTAAATCAGAGCCTTCCGTATGTGGCCCAGGAAAGTGGGTTTTCAGATGCACTGACAAGTTTTGGAACTAAGCCAGATGAATAAACTGAATAGCTGGAGTTTTGGGAAACATGCTTTGTCATATAACTGATTGGATTTTCTTGTTTATTTTAGAATTTTTATGCTTTTTGTTCTTTTTCACACATTACATTTTTTTCTTATATCCGTAGCTACATATTTTACATAGCAAAGTTTTATTTTCAGAATATTGTAGAATCTCTGGTTAGGAAGGGATCTTAGTGGTCGTGTATTCAAACCTCCACTGAATGCTACAATTTCTCCTGCAAAATCCTTCTCAAATGGTCGGTCATCCTGCCTCAGATTGAGCAAGAGTTCCAGGTTAAAAGACTTACTTCTTTGAAGTAGTTCATTACTTTTTTCTATGGCTATGTCAGACAGTTGTTCCTTATATGAAGCCAAAGTCTAGTCCAGTCTAACTTCCTCTCTTAGTTCTACCCTCCACGTCCACCTATACCGAGTATGTTTTCCACATCTCTTCTCCAATTTAGCCCATCAGAAGTTTGGAAACAGACATCCAATCTCTGTTAAATCTTCTCTAGATTAAACCTTTCAGTTCCTTTAACTGTTGATCATGTAATTGGAAACATGAACCCATATCATACAAACTCCCTCCCACACATGTTCTATTTATCAGTCTCTTTGAAAGCACTGCAGGAGCCTCACTATGAAAGAGTGGAATATGGGGCTGTGAGCATCCTCATCCAGATACTGTACTGTGATTCATGCATCCTCTCATCACCTGATTCTTCATGTAATTCATATGATTCCTTAGTCTCCTCACCCAAAACAGTAAAGCACTGTGTCCCGCAGCTAGTATTTGAGCACCTTTTCTTGGAAAAAAGTGGAAGACTTCCCAGTTAGCTCTGTTAAATTTCATCTCATTAGGATCTACTTCTCATTCCAATCTGTTGAAATTATCTTAGAGTCATTCATCTCATAGATCAACTTCACAGTATCAGCAGAATTAATTATATGAATCAAAAGAGATTGGTTCAAGAACATTGATCCATTAATCAAAGCTCTTTGGGTAGAGTTCACTGAATTATTTTATCATCTACCTCAGACTCTTCATGAAACAGGTAAATAAGAAAGACTTTTTCAAATGCCTGAGTGAAACTTCTACAGTCATTCATCTCATAGATCAACTTCACAGTATCAGCAGAATTAATTATATGAATCAAAAGAGATTGGTTCAAGAACATTGATCCATTAATCAAAGCTCTTTGGGTAGAGTTCACTGAATTATTTTATCATCTACCTCAGACTCTTCATGAAACAGGTAAATAAGAAAGACTTTTTCAAATGCCTGAGTGAATAAACTCCACCATTTCTCTGACCTATCAGTTGTTGACCAAATTAAAAAGGAAGTGAGGATAAGCAGGTGTGATTTACTCCTAGCAAAGCCTTACTGACTCCTAATGATTGAGTCCTTTCCCTGTTGCTCAGAAATCATCTTTTTAATTACTAGTTTTAAAATCTTGCCAGCAATATCAGTATCAAATGACCAACAATATCAAACTCATTACTCTGTAGGTAAATGAGATAATGTACCTAGCCTTATGCCTTACATATTAAAAGCTCTTGATATGAACTAGGTATCATTTGCGATATAGTTTCATCATGTACTAAATTTAGTGATAAGATTAGTACCAGGTTGTGTCCTCTCATACAGGAAGAGCTGATGTGTATGCACAATTATTTAATCTCTTTTAGGCTGCTTTCATTTCCTGTTCTCTTTCTCAATTTTTACTAAGGTACTCCTGCTAAAACAACTTCCCAATTATATTCAGAGTGTGCTAAAAAAAATAGGAGAATCTCCCTTAAAGGTTATACATTTCCAGTGATATATCTCAGAGGCATCTCATTCTCAACATTCCTAAACCTGAACTCATGAACCTGCCCATTCAGACTTGCTTCACTCAAGTTCTCTATCTGGGTTCATGTTAACATCACCCACGTGAATGCCTCACCCCTCAACTGGGCATCATCGAAGATGCTTTCACTTGCTCTTCCTATCTGATCATTTCACCTACTTCTTCCTCTTTAGTGCCTCTCAAATCTGCCTTCTTTCATACGTCATGATTGTCCCTATTTTAACCTTATCATCCCTCTCCTGGATTATTCATTTATTCGTTCATTAGATTGTTCAGTGATTTAATTAAACAGATTTAGCCCCTGCCCTTAAATGTAGTAAGTGATATGAAAGGAGACAGTTGGGGAAGAAGATTCCCCTAAGGGAAAGCCTGAAGCAAGAGTGGAAGCCAGTCAGATAAGGCGAGAAGGTTCTGAGGCAGGAAAGAGCTCAGAACATTCTGGAACCTGAGTAAAGACAGTTACTGTAGAGTATGCCATGAGGCAAGGATGGAAATGTGGTCAAGAGACAGACCCTGCAGATTGGGTAGGCTTCGATAAGGAGGAAGCCCGGGTTTTAAGTAGGGGAGTGAAAAGATTTATTTAAATTTTATTAAATAAAATGTATTAAAATTTATTTAAATTTTAAGAAGATGATTCGACACATTTACTGAGGTCTTTCCTGCTGCTGGACCACAGATCGTTTGGGCTCCCAGGTGCTACCGCAGACTGCTTGTCTCTGAAGCCAGATTAAGCCAGGTCGCACTTGCATTTAATATGCTGTAATGACCTCACGTCAAGAGAGAGTTCAAAATCTTTGCGTAGTAGATCAGCATTTCACTGCACAGTCTTTGCTGACTTCTTTAGATCTACCGTTCCCTGGGAATATTTGGTACTTTAGCCACATCAAGCCACCTATGAGTCTCAAAAAGGCTTCGGCCTGTGCTGTCTCGTTCTTGTTGGCCTGTTTAATTCTTCTCCACCCTTCAAGATCAGCTCAGAAGCCAGATCCACAGAGAAGCTCTTATCAACTAACCCCCTCCTTTGAGCTGTGCTGACATTCCAGGCCCACCTTTGTCACAACATGCCTCATACTGGATTGTCAGACTAGTTCATGCAACTGTCTCCCTCAGCACAGAGAGGGAGAAAGGGATGCTATTAGACATATCTCAGAAATGACACATAGATATTTTCAGTAAATGTTGACATTTTGCCCATTTTTATTCTCTGTTGTCCCCCAGTAGTTCTCGTTCACTAACAGAGCTTTTCCTAATACAGCAACGAAAACAGTTCAAGCCTAGTTATTCTTTGATTAATGTATAGCACTTTGCATTTATATAGAGCACTTTT